TGTTTTTAAATAAATAGACAATTCATTAATTTTAATATTGGCATCTTTTTACTCATAGACATGTGAAGTGCGAAATCATTCTTTTTTTTACGAATTACTCCGAGAATCACTCCTAAACCTGCGAATATAAAATTTGATTCGTAGGTCTCGGTGTAATTCGTGCAAGAAAGAGAGATTTCTCACTTCGCCGGTTGAAAGTAAAGAAAGATCAATATTAATATTATTGAATTGTCCCTTTATTTAACACCAATTTGGCGAAATAACAAATGGAAGACTAAATTGAGCGAAACACAAAAGTCTGGGACTATATTAGGTCACCAAAGTCGTTTAGGACGAAATTGAGAAAAACCACTATAGTCGAGGACAATTTTGGGTATTAACTCTTTAAATATGTAATTCATAGTATATGAATAAAATGTAATATAGGAGATTCATTATAATTGTTACTAAACTTTTTTTAAATAGTAACCAAGTATTTTTGTTGCCAAAGGTTCTAATATATTTAATGAATGCACATATATACAAGATCAATGAATGAATCAACGGTACCAGTCCTTTAGGTGTTTTGCTCAGTGTTCATTTAGTTCAACCATTATTGTTGAATAAATTATTATGGATAAAGAAATTCCCAACTTAAGGAATTTTGATGTAATAAAAATTTAAAATTTTTAATTATAATGTAACCCAAAGATATTGGATGATTGGTAAATATGATGTAACCCAAAGATCAACATGCTAAAGAAAGTGTTTTGGTTATTCAACAGTTTGAAGCAACAATTTGTTCCAAACCATTGAAATTACAAACATTGCAATTTACAATATTTTCACTTAGCGTTTTTTTAGAATGATTTCCCCAAAACACATCTATATTTTTAAAAAAATTATTATTAAAACAATAATTATTATTATTATTATTATTATTATTATTATTATTATTATTATTATTATTATTATTATTATTATTATTATTATTATTATTATTATTATTATTATACCATTAGGTCATTTTAAATGTTAATTTAAATAGCGAATTTTTTCAAATATCTTTTTACCAACCGTTGATATAATTCGCTGGTCAAATCCGCTAACGCTAACGGCTAACTGCTGATTGTCAAACAAGGATATTGCGAGATAGTTTCCCATTTCAATTTGTTGTGTGATTTGACTACTATTTTTGTCAAGTAGTTAATATGATTTGCTTAATTATATTTTTTTTATTTTTTTAAAACAATTAATAATAATAATAATAATAATAATAATAATAATAATAATAATAATAATAATAATAATAATAATAATAATAATAATAATAATAATAATAATAATAATAGGGAAAATTGTAATTTATACCCCTCACAAATATGTCAATTATCAATGTCACCCCTGAATTATCAGTGGTGTAAATGTAGCCTCTCAATTTTCAAAACGTGACATATATTGCGCCTCTCCTAATATGAAGAAGGGGAAAAATTGTTGTCGACGGAAGGAGAACAAGCGAAGAAAGAAAAATTGAGGAAAAAACGTGGTCTTCGAACAAGAAAGACGATGCGTAACCACATTTACATCACTAATAATTCAGGGGAGGGGCAATATATATCACGTTTTGAAAATTGAGGGGCAACATTTACACCACTAATAATTCAGGGGTAACATTGATAATTGACATATTTGTGAGGGGCATAAATTATAATTTTCCCATAATAATAATAATAATAATAATAATAATAATAATAATAATAATAATAATAATAATAATAATAATATTATTATTATTATTATTATTATTATTATTATTATTATTATTATTATTATTATTATTATTATTATTATTATTATTATTATTATTATTATTATTATTATTATTATTATTATTATTATTATACCCTTAGGTCATTTTACATGTTAATCTAAACAACTAACTTTTTTCAAATATCTTTTTACCAACCATTGATATAATTCGCTGGACAAATTCGCTAATATAATCCGCTAACCGCTAACTGATTGTCAAACAAGGACATTGCAATGTAGTTCTCACTTCAATTTGTTGTGTGATTTGAATACTCTCTTTGTCAACAAATCCCTCAAGTAGTTAATATGTTAGGCTTTATTAATTATATTTTGTTAATTTTTTCATGGTATTAATAAAATATTGGTAAATAAATATATAGCATTATTTTGTATTATAACTTTGATATTTAATTAAAAAATAGTGCACAAAAAAGATAATAGACAATGTAGTGAATATAATCAATTGATGAATTTGAATGTAAAGAATTTTTAAATTGGAGAAATATAAAAACAATATAACTAATAAAATTATTTCTCTTAATTAATTTATTGATAATGAATATATATATTTTTTAATAAAGACATTGTAGGGACAATGTAGCCTCGAATATAATTAATTGATGAATTTGAATGTAAAGAATTTTTATATTGGAGAAAAATAAATATAATATAACTAATGAAATTATTTCTCTTATTTAATTTATTGATAATGAATAATTTTTTTTGAATAAAGACATTGTAAACACATAATTCCAAATTAAAGAAATGCATATGTATTATTTTTTGTTGTAACTACTAAATTATTATTTAAGTTAATAAGAGTAAAATAGAATACTAATTATGCCAACTTTGACTGAGATGAGGTTCAGACCTAAGACCTTTCTTATTGAAATCAATGAGTAAGTTAACGGTGAACTAACAGAAATTAAAGGAAAATATAATATTTAACAGAAAAGTTAACGGATAATCATATTCATTAAGGATAAATTAGGAAATCTTATGGAAAAAAATAAAATCTGATCAATCTAAGTCATTCATTTGATTACAAAATTTGACCGTCATTTTTTCTACCCATTATAGGCCTAACTCTCTTGGGTTCTTATTAGTATATAGTATAGTAGATAGTAGATAGTAGATAGTATAAATATCTTTTTACCAACCATTGATATAATTCGCTTGTCAAATTTACTAATATAATCCGCTAACCGCTAACTGCTGATTGTCAAAAAAGGATATAGCGAGGTAGTTCTCACTTTAATTTGTTGTGTGATTTGAATACTCTCTTTGTCAACAAATCCTTCAAGTAGTTAATATAATTGACTTTATTAATTATATATTTTTAAATTTTTTCATGGTATTAATAAATTACTTGGTAAATAAATATATAGCATTATTTTGCATTATAACTTTGATATTTAATTAAAAAATAGTGCACAAAAAAAGATAATAGACAATGTAGTGAATATAATCAATTATGAATTTGAATGTAAAGAATTTTTAAATTGGAGAAATATAAAGACAATATAACTAATAAAATTATTTCTCTTAATTAATTTATTGATAATGAATAATTTTTTTTAATAAAGACATTGTAGGGACAATGTAGCTTCGAATATAATCCATTGATGAATTTGAATGTAAAGAATTTTTATATTGGAGAAAAAATAAATACAATATAACTAATGAAATTATTTCTCTTATTTAATTTATTGATAATGAATAATTTTTTTTTTGAATAAAGACATTGTAGACACATAATTCCAAATTAAAGAAATGCATATGTATTATTTTTTGTTGTAGCTACTAAATTATTATTTTTAATTTAATAAGAGTAAAATAGAGTACTAATTATGCTAACTTTGATTGGGATGAAGTTCGAACCTAAGACCTTTCTTATCAATGAGTAAATTAACGGTGAATTAACAGAAATTAACGGAAAAGATAATATTTAATGAAAAAGTTAACGGATAATCATATTCATTAAGGATAAATTAGGAAATCTTAAAGAACAATTAAAATCTGATAGTCATTCATTTGATTAAAAAAGTTGACCGCCATTTTTTCTACTATTATGGGCCTAACTCTTTTGGGCTGTTATTAGTATAGTAGATAGTAAATAGTAGATATATAATAGATATGTTTTAGAGAGTGAGTTCCATTTTTTGTCCTACTGTTATAGGCAAATTATGCTGTGCATCCGTATGCACCATACATGGTGCATACGGATGCAAAAACGACGTCGTTTTAATAAAACGCGCGTCTCCCCTTTAAAAAAAAAAAATCAGGTTCGATTCCCAGCAACAACATATGAACTAAAATTCCATAATCGATGAACTATAATTCCATAATCGATGAACTATAATTCCATAATCTAATCTATGAACTAAAAATTCCAGAATGAATGAACTAAAATTCCATAATCTATAAACTAAAATTTCAGAATCGATGAACTACAATTCCATAATCGATGAACTATAATTCCATAATCAATGAACTATAATTCCATAATCTATGAATTAAAATTCCAGAATGAATGAACAATATAATGTTGTTGCTGGGAATCGAACCTGAATTTTTTTTAAAGGGGAGACGCACGTTTTTTAATAAAACGACGTCGTTTTGGCATCCGTATGCACCATGCATGGTGCATACGGATGCACAGCATAACGATTGACTGTTATAGGGGCGTTTCCAATTTTAGTCCACCTTAATTTTTTTGCCACTTTATAACCACTATTATTGAAAGTGTTCCACTTTTAGTTCCACTGTTAGTATTTCCATCAAGAGGCCGTGTTATTTTGACCTTTCTTATCATCCAAGACTATGTTTGACTAAAGAAATGAGAACATTAAACCTAAAATCTAAGAAACCTCGCCGGCCCATGTTGGGACGAACGAAACGATGTAGCTTTGACTTCCCATTCTCGTTGTTCGAAGAGCCATCTTCGAATATCAGAGGAGGAGGACGAAGCGCCTGGATTAAGAGAAGAGACAAACATAAAAAGACCAAAATACCCTTTGATTATACGGCCCTTTACGAAAATATTAACGGTGAACTAAAAGTGAAACGCATTCAATAACAATGGTTGTAAAATGGCAAAAAAAATTAAAGTGGACTGAAATTGAAAACGCCCATGTAACAATAGGACCAAAAATGAAATTCACTCTATTTTAGAAGACAGCACACTCCTAGCTACTTACTCAAAACTGAGGATAAGGTAATTTCTCTTATGGCAGTCCAAAACCTCATCCAACTTATACTACAGCTTCCACACCTTATCCATTAGAAATGTCTTGTGACTTAATAATTCCTCCCTCTTATCTGCACTCTTCTTCTTCTTCCTCCTTTCTCTGTAAGCAACGGCTACAGCTTTTTAATGCGTTTCCTTTCAAGCTCAGAGTACCCGTTTCGACAAGGCCTCTGATTGTTCAAGCCGAGTCCAGAACCAGAGAGGAGGACCGGATTGCGACCCAGTCTCGTATCCCCAACAAGGTAATTCCGATTACACCTTAGCCTATCGCTTTATTATAATAATAATAATAACAATCCAATTACCGTTACTGCTCACAACTGTTTGTAGGTTATTTATGCTGATTCCTATGGATTATGTTGTCCTGAAGCTTTAATTTGAAAGTGGAATGAGAATGCCATTCTTTAGGATAAGAAAATCGCAGTACAAGGGATTCTAGTTTAGTAGTTTTTTCACCCTCTTATCAATTTACAAGAATACCCCATCATGATACCATTCTTGAATGGACTTTATCCAACAAACCTTCTCCATACTTTCCAGCCATAGAAGGTTCACTCACAGAAAACAAGCAATCTTGGACAAAATAGGTAGTGCAATGAAGGATTCCAATCCCAATTTCAGCCTTTACAAGTTGTTACTTGAAAATTCCAGTAGCAGTGATCCTACAATATCTTTCATTTATGCCTGCTATGGAGTTTCTTGTAGGTTCATACCTATAACATGGCACCATGATTTGTTTTTCACCACCTTGTTTTGGCACCATAATTTGTTATTGACTGCTGTTGCATGAACTAGAACCATTTTTTGGGCCAATATAAAACGTTCCTTGACTTCCTTCACTGCATCTCTATGAATACAGTTTTCATATGGTTCTGAACAATGATTTGATGGTCATAACTCATAATCCCCAATAGCCCAATGCTTTGCCAAAATGCACTCATATTAAGCTCATTGAAAGTAATATAGTATTTGATGCGATCACCAAGGTTCCTGAAGCACACATCTGCAAAATACACATCCTTCTTGTTGTTTGTGGCTTAGCCAAACTTGATATGTGTCCAATATTCTTCCTCATACTTTAAAGCACTGACGGAGCAGGGCCACTGTTCATACTAATAGTGGTACACTGTGTGTGTGTGTGCGCACATGTGTGTTTATAGAATCAAGATGCTGAACGGAAGGGTCAGGATCTTCAAACACTTGCCCGGAGGTTCTGGAAAGTTGCTGCTCCCTATTGGTCCTCAGACGATAAAGTTCAAGCTAGGTTGCAGCTGGCTGCAGTCTTTGCCCTTACTTTAGGGACTACTGGTATCAGTGTCGGTTTCAATTTCCTTGGTCGTGATTTCTATAATGCCCTTGCCAGTAAGATTTCATGCCCGCTTTTGCCCCGTTCTACATCACACTCCACTCTATTACCTTGCTAACTATTCATCTTCTTCAATCAAATTCATGTAAGACAAAGATCAAGAACAGTTCACCAAGCAACTATTGTACTACCTTGCTAGTTTCGCTGGTGGTATTCCGGTGAGCTCTCCACCTAGCTGCACTTCCTTATATACACATTGTTTCATCTTCTCTGCATTTGTTACTGAAATTTGGCTGGCATCATTTTACCATTGGGGATGATGTGTATGTCTTTTGTTTCTGGTTTCTCTGTTCACATAAATGTCAGAATTTATTCAATTTAGTTGTTGCTTTATTACACAGTTTGTTTTAGTCTATTCTATTTGCATGCTGTCCACCAAATATGCACTTTCGTACAGTGTATATACAAATACCAAGGTTGTAACCGTTCTTTATACACACACACACACACACACACACACATCTATTTATTTATTTATATTTGTGTCCATAGGATTGGAAAAGACAGACAAAATACTTTTGCTTTTGTTCCTTATGACCTTCAATCCTGTTTATACTTTATACATATATTTTGCAGGTTTTTGTGTTGAGAGACTATGCACGTGAAACACTAGCATTAAGATGGAGATCTTGGATGACAAGCTATTACATGGAGCGCTATTTGAGGAATCAGACTTTTTACAAAATACAATCACAATCAATAATTGACAACCCTGATCAGCGAATTGTTGATGATTTGAGTTCCTTTACAGGAACAGCTCTTGCATTTTCTTTGACACTTTTCAATGCTGCAGTAGACTTGATATCTTTTAGCAATATCTTGTATGGCATCTATCCACCGCTTTTTCTCGTGCTTCTTGCATATTCTATTGGTGGAACAGCTATTAGTGTATTTCTTGGAAGGGTAATGTTCCCATCTTTGAAAGAATTCTACTGCATTATCATTTTCTATAATTGACACACTATCTTGAATTCCCCATTATATGACATCTTTGGGACATTATCACCTCCAAGTAATGGTGGAAATTGTCTTGCGTTTTCAGGGATTAGTGACCCTCAACTTCATGCAAGAGAAAAAAGAAGCAGATTTCCGCTATGGGCTAGTGCGCATTAGGGAGAATGCTGAATCAATTGCATTTTATGGTGGTGAGGAAAATGAGATGCAACTATTGCTACAACGTTTCAAAAGTGCTTATGAAAACCTCACGGTATGGAACATATACCCTACTGTTTGTCTATGCTTTTTAGTTTCAGTCTTTATTGAAGTATATGTGTTTCATGCCTTCATATATCTGGTTAGCCTCACAATGAAATACTTGAACACTATAGACCTCAGATGAGGAGAAGTTTAGGTTTTATTGCAAAACAGAGTCCTTTCAGAACACTTCTATTATTTGTAAATCTCATTTGGTTCAGCATCACTAATTCAATAACATTGTGTTTCTGAAAGTGGATGAAGTAGCCTCTGGTGGAGTCATTTCTGCACTGCTTTCAGTCTCAACATTTGTAATTATAATTTATAAAAATGATATGTTAGTGTGTGAACCAAAATAAAAGAAGGAAACATAGAGTGAATTGTCTATGCCTTAATTGTACATTATTTTAAACATTTTTATGCCTTTGTTAATGTGTATTGATGTATTCTGAATATGTTTGGTGATACCTGTTATCTAGTATAAAGTTGTGTACAAAACTACAAATTATCTTCTTACATTTGCTTTCTTGTGCTTCGCTTGTGCTTGCACAGAAATTATTGATATCTTCCAGGAATTTGGAGTTTTTCACAAATGGTTACCGCTATCTGATTCAAATTCTTCCTGCTGCAGTTGTCGCACCGATGTATTTCTCTGGGAAAATTGAATTTGGGGTCATAAATCAATCTGTGTCTGCATTTAACCATATTCTTGGGGATTTCTCCTTGATTGTTTATCAATTTCAGGCTATTAGTGCATTTTCAGCCGTCATTGACCGACTAGGTACTTTATCTTGTTGACTTTGCACTTTTATGCTAGACCTTTTTTTTCCCCCCCCAGATATTTGCTTTTCTTGTGTAATGCCTTGGTGATAGCACATGTTAACTAGGCTTTGTTACTAGAATCCTGCTGCTTAAGTTTTTGCATCACTGGAAGGGCATATTCAGGTCAAGTCATTTAAGTTGGTTAAGAGATTTATAAATATTGTGATTTAGATCCATGGCCCTGTTTGGTAAAATAGATGTTAGCTGATAGCTGTTAGTTGTTAGCTGATTGTGTTAATTAGAGGGTATAAATAGTTGAGAGAAAATTACACTTTTGGTCCTATGACTATAGGGGAGGTGGTAATTTCAGTTCGTGACTTTTAAAACTAACAGATTTAGTCCTTTTTAGTACGCTTTTTTTTACACATTAAGTCCTTCCGGCCAAATCACCGGTGGATTTTGGCCGGAAAAACACAATCCCTTAATTTATTAAATATTTGGGGGGTAAAATGGTCAATTCAGATCCTACTTTCTTCTTCCTTCTTCTTCCTTCTCCTTCCTTCTCCTTCCTACTTCTTCGTTCTTCTTCTTCCAATGAAAGATGGATGGGTATCGATCGAGATCGAGATCCTATCCAATAGATAATACAATATTCATATTATTAATTTGTATTTGTTGATGATCTTCAACGAACGGAAAGCTGTTTAGTAATGACAGTCCACCAAAGCTGGGACGGAGAAGACAAGACTTTGCTGTTGCTTGGCTGAGAATTCAAACTTGTTGCCATGGCCACCTTCTTCTTCTTCTTGTTGGGCCGGCAAGTTAAGATCAAGGGAGAAAACGGCAGCTCTGGGATTATCTCCGACGCCGTCCGATGACTCCGTCGCCTCCTCGTCGTTGCTACTACTGACGGAGGCGGCTTTTGCGGTGGCGGCTGTGTTGATAGGCGCCGCCGGCCTGTGCCTCCGCATGTGGCCGCCCAAGGCTTGCCCGGAAGAGAACTCCGCACAGCAAATCGAGCACTCGTGAATCTTGGCCAGCTTGCTAGAACCGCCGTGTGCGGCTGAGAGCGGCGGCGGCGGGGGGCTTTGTTTCTTGACATCATCGTGATGATGGTGATCGTAATGGTCTTGATGGTGATGCTCATGATTATCCATATGCTCATCAACAAATACAAATTAATAATAAGAAGAAGAACGAAGAAGTAGGAAGGAGAAGGAGAAGGAAGAAGAAGGAAGAAGAAAGTAGGATCTGAATTGACCATTTTACCCCCCAAATATTTAATAAATTAAGGGATTGTGTTTTTCCGGCCAAAATCCACCGGTGATTTGGCCGGAAGGACTTAATGTGTAAAAAAAAGCGTACTAAAAGGACTAAATCTGTTAGTTTTAAAAGTCACGAATTGAAATTACCACCTCCCCTATAGTCATAGGACCAAAAGTGTAATTTTCTCAAATAGTTGATAACATTAGCTGATTGTAGAAAAGTGTTTGGTAAATTAGCTGTTAGCTGATAGCTGTTTGATATAATTTCTTTTTCCAAAAAGCTAATTGAAAAAGTTGCTTGGAGTAGCTTTTTGAATTTTAGCCTTTCGAAGTTGCAAAAAGCTAATTAACCAAACATTTATATTGATATTTTAACTAAATCAAACAATTAATAGTGGTCAAATAAGCCAAAATTGGCCTATAGGCCAATTTTTTACCAAACAGGGCCCATAACTTTTAAAATGTGGTATAATAAGGTCAAGGTTATGACTTGGTTATTCCAATCTGCAACTATGAGTTTCTTGCCTAGTCTATCTGGATTAATTTGGGATTGTTAACAAAAGTATATATAATGGACAGGTAGTTTTGTGCTTATGTGTATCATGTAACCAACATCCTGATACAAACTTTAGATGTTGATCAAACCCTAGAGAAAAATTGAAATTACTAATGTAATATTTAGCAAGAAATGACAAATTTCAGTGTTATCACTTATCACTTGTTTTAAATAGGTAGAACTTAGATGTTGTCACTTGCTAGTACTCACTTCAAGGGTAGATGATGGCTAACAATTAAATCTATTTTGCAATATGTTATATGTAGATGCTAACTTGTTAGCATTTGAAACAAGGTTAGATGAAGAGAGTATAATACCCGGAAACAGGACAAGATCTTTTTTATTGGTTTCATCAGAGAAAAGATAATAAAAGAAACAAGCAGAGACAAAGATCAATGTCTTTTCACTTCAAGGCCAGCTGCATCTTTGTGAAGCATTTGGAGAATGAGGTTGGGAGGGTAAACAGGAAGAGACGTCAAAAGACTAGAAGTCTTTTTTTAAGAGGGTAGGATGTTGCAGATGTAGGGCCGATGAAATTGCTAAAGACGGGGAAGGAGTTCATGAGGGTCTCTATTTCTATTGCAAGTTAAATAGAAGTATATTATTGTGTGGTGGAAACATCAAACTATACATCAAAACCGTAATTTCGTACATCTAACATCTGATATATTATTGAGTAGCAGTTTTTTCCCTACCCTTATTTTGATTGGCTATACTTGTAGAGTTATAGTTTCTATAGCTTAATTGGGGCCCAATGATTATCTGTAATAGTATTTACATGTAAATTTTCAAGTTTTCTAATCTGTAGGTGAATTTGATGACATTTTGGATAGCAGCACCAGAAAAAATAATGAGTCCACAGAAGAGATAAAATTGAAGTATTGCTATCTAAGCAGTTCAACTGACCTGCATTCAAATGGATCCATTTCATCCAGAAAATGTGTGAAGGTATTGCGTATTGAGCACTTGACCCTACAGACACCAATGAGTAAAGAACCTCTTATAAATGGCTTGTCATTGGAGGTTTTTGAAAAGGATCATTTGCTGGTCAGTTCTAGTGTGCATTTCAAGTTTCTAACTTGTTACTTGGGATGATATATAAACTTTGAGTGAAATGATTACTGTTATATAGTTCTATTGACAGGTTACAGGACCAAGTGGGAGTGGCAAAACTTCATTATTGAGAGCTATAGCTGGTCTTTGGAACACTGGAAAGGGAACTATAACATTCTATGCCAAACATAAAAGGGAGTTACCTCTTTCTTCAGATATTGTTTCTTGTGAAGTCATTTCAACAGATGAGATAAATGTGGACAGTACTGTGCATAGAGAGAAGAATCGTGGAGGTGTATTTTTCCTTCCACAAAGGCCATATATGGTTTTGGGAACACTTCGTCAACAGTTGTTATATCCAACTTGGACTGAAGATTCGGATTTTATGGCGAATCTCACTGAACAAAGTCAACAAACTGGTATGCCACTTTAGAATCTTTAGACTGTGTATCTGCACCACTTTTGTGGCATTGGATGTCCAAACCACACCTGAATTTAATTGGATATACATGACTTAAAAAGATTTTAGTTCTTGTATCTTCTGAGTGCAAGGGCATGCCTCTCAACGTCTTATAAACTTAATTTTCTCTATTTATGCCTTTAATCTTTAACTTTGTTCATTTCAACTGTATGTGATATAGCTAGGACAAGGAAATGACCTTATCATCAGTTTTGGGTCTTTGTCCTTGACCAAGTTGAGTAAGTAGAAGTGTGCTGTCTTCTAAAAAATATTAAATGGTTTGATGCTTAGCTATTTCTTACATTGAAGTATGGAATGTAGAACGTGAACTGTATATTTGAACTGATGAAAATGAACTGTACAAGTCTACTATTTATACAAGCTTGTAATAGGATTCGCCAAGCTCTCAACCACTCTTTTCAAATTCGAAATGAGTTGATGAAGAACTATTCTCTTGACCTCCCTCAGCATTCTCTAACACTCCCCCTCAAGTTGGAGTATAGATTTTGACCATACCCAGCTTGTTACATATATAAATAACCTGACTCCTACCAAGCCCCTTCGTAAATAGGTTAGCCAGCTGATCACCATTCACCACTACGAACATGTACGGTAGATATCAACCCCTGTTGCACCTTCTCCCGTATAAAGTGACAATTAACTTCAATATGCTTAGTTCGTTCGTGGAAGACAGGGTTATTCGTAATGTGTATTGCAGCATGGTTATCACACCACAACTTCACTGGTAACTTCATCTCCATTCTCCACACCAACTTCACTCAGGCTATTGTGCCACCCAGACTATTTCACTCGTCACATGAGCCATAACTCTATACTTTGACTCTGCACTAGACCGTGCCACAACACTCTGTTTCTTGCTCTTCCATGAAACAAGATTGCCTCCTACAAACACACAGTACCCTGTCATAGACCTTCTGTCACTAGGTGATCCAGCCCAATCAGCATTAGAAACACCTCAATGTCCGTGTGTCCACGATCAACATACAAAATCCCTTTTCCAGAAGCACTCTTCAAATACTTCACGATCCGAATAGCTGCTTCCCAATGAGTTTGCGTAGGTGCACTCATAAACTGACTCTCCATGCTTACTGAAAACGCAATATCCGGACGGATAATCGTGACGTAATTAAGCTTCCCTACCAACCTCCTATATCTCTCTGGATTTTCAAAGGCCTCCCCCTCTCCGGCCACAAGCTTGACCCCTTGATCCATGGGAGACTCACACGGCTTCGATCCCAGCAAACCCCGTGTCCTCAAGTAGGTCTAACACATATTTCCTTTATGAAAGAAATATGCCTCTCCTGGAGCGAGCAACCTCAATGCCTAGGAAATATTTTAGAACTCCCAAATCTTTAGTATGAAACTTGGTCCCAAGGAAGGATTTAAGGGCATCAATTCCACTCGCATCGTGATTACTATGTCATCCGCATTGTGACTAGTTGAAGGTTACGAGGAAGACACTTTTAATTGATTAAACATGACCAATTCCTCATCGATCATCACAACTACATGTCCTTCTAGTTTGGTGACGGAGTTCGCAAACCTTTGTGGTCGAAACGCCTTAGGACATTGGTTGCGCAGATGACCGGGCTCTCTACAATTGTAGCAGACTCTTTGTCCTCCTCGGCCTCCTTCACGTCCTCAAAACCGACCACGTCGACTACTGGTAGTCTCATCACCATTATCTCCCTGTGACAAAAGCATGTCTTTTGGCCATATCACATCACCATTAGAATTCCCTGATGCGTTTTGGACCATGGAAAAGACTTGGTCTAATGATTCCAAATCTCTACTCCAAGCAATTGAGACCTAAGAATTTCATGTTCTTTATCTAGCCCTGAAATCCTACTGAAAACATGCAATTGATCCCGCTGTTTTTTCATTTTTCCCACGTCAACTGTAATAGGCATAGTAGTAAACAATGCTTCACTCACATTTTTGAAATCATAATAATAGTCTCTAATGTCTCGCCCCTTTTGAGAGGGACGATAAACATCTTCTTATACAATTTTCTGAGATTGTTTGGCCCACTAAACCATTTGTCTACCAACTCCACACATCTTTCTTAGTCTTACAATGCTGCAGGGATAGTATTATTTTCCTATCAATGCAGTTAATTTTTCAGGACAAGAAGACTTTATCATCTTTTTTCTATTCTAAGGCTTCACGGCTTCACCCGGTTTTGTTGGGCAGGTTTCCTTTAAATGACCATCTTTACCCATGCCTCCCAAGTTAATTTCAATAACAAATTTCCATTCCCCAAAATTGGACCTGTCCGGTGCAAGCACCACATCAATCAACTTAGATGGGGTTGACACTACGGTAAAAGTCCTACCTTCAGCCATTAAATGAACTGTATAAGTCTACTATTTATACAAGCTAGTAATAGGATTAGCCAAGCTCTCAACCACTCATTTCAAATTCGAAATGAGTAGATGAGAGCTATTCTCTCAACCTCCCTCAACATTCTCTAATATGGAATATAGGAATTAAAAGTTAACTTGGAAAGAAAACAGTTGTAAGAGTTAGCAAAGGCTAAAATATCCTTCACCAATTCTTCCCTACCTCTTCAATTTCATAAAGATTCTACACCAAAAATCCCCAACAGTGGAGCAAAACCCTACAACCATCATTTTAATTTGTCATATCATGTTGGTAGTTGGGAAGGTGGTTGGGGTTTGAGGCCAGAGCCAGGGGGAATTGGGAGAGCTTTCTGGTAGGTTGAAGTTGGATGGGTGGAATTATTTTGAAGGTTATGCATTTTATTCATAAAACATTCTTACCCTCATGAATGGTTTCAGACATTTTAGTCAAGTGAATGGAGAAGTTTAAATTTATTTAGTGAAAAATTACACCAAGTGAACACCCATATGTTTTTTGATCCATCTCAGGTAATATGTTGCACATTCTAGTAGCTGCACAGGTTGTCATTTTTGATAATCCTCATTTTTCTAGCATGTGGAATGGGAATTAAACATCCTATTGCTTTCAGTGTTTATTTCATCTTTCATGCTTCATATTGCTCTCTTGACGATGTCTAGCTCAGGTATACGTATACCTGAGAAGAATCAGAGAAGATATTCTTGTCTTCATCCTGAATTTTTAAATTTTTGTTATATGTAGATTCTCCATCATTCTTGGCGCGTTCTCCTAAAGCACAGTATGCGGATGTAGATTCTAAAAAGCCCACAACGGATGATCTAATCCAAGTTCTAAAGGATGTTCGGCTTGGGTATTTATTATCTCGTTTTGATGGTCTAGATTCTATGCATGAATGGTCAAGTGTTCTTTCCCTAGGAGAGCAACAACGTCTTGCATTTGCAAGACTATTATTGTCAAAGTCCTACTTGGTTCTACTGGATGAATCTACGAGTGCTTTAGATGAAGCCAATGAGGTAATTATTGGCTGATAGTCATGTTTGATGTTTCTGTTTCACTTCCTCTATATTATCCATGTGTGTGTTTCAGTCTATTTGGAATTTATTGATATCTTTGAACTAGCTGCTGAAACGCCAAGATCTAAGAAGTTTGGATCCATATGGTTATTTGTGTTACAGGAGCATTTGTATCAGCTAATTCAAGCTGCAGGGATCACATATATAAGCATTGGTCACCGTTCAACCCTCTATAAATACCATAAGAAGGTGTTGCAAATATCGTCGACTGCTGATCCAACGAGTACAAACCCAAATTGGTGCATTGATTTCATTCCATAGGACAACACTCCTTGTTATAATATAGCTAAGCTGAAGAAATCTTGTAAATAGGAGCAATTTTACAAGTGATTTACAATATAATTTGTACAGGGTTCGGCTCAGCATCTATCCGGAAAGTATTACGAGTTTATGGGGTGTTTGGTTGGATGTAATTGAAATTATTTTTCTACTTTATTCTATTGCAAGACAAATTACAGTGTTTGGTTGGAGGGAATTGCAATTTCATGGAATTGTAATTTTCTCCTTTTGTTGAATTGCAATTCATGGGGTGCTCCTCATGAATTGCAATTCAATGCTTGTGGGAAAGGAAAAAATGGGAAAAATGACAAAAGTACCATTAGTGAATGGTGATTGTTATTATTAATATTACATAAAAATATTTTGGTCTTTATACTATTTTATTTTATTCCTTCTCATTCTCAATAATTCTATTCATTCCTACTAAACAATGTAATTTAAATTCTTATATTATTCACACTGTATTCTTTTCTCACCAAATTGTAATTTTTTGGCTGAGTACTATGATGCTCAGTAATTTTCTTTAATTTTATTTTGCATGTGTAGTGTAATTTATTGTACCTGTAAGGACTGTCATCCCAAGTTCAAACTATCGTAGCAAATGAGATATTTTTAGTTTTGAAAGCAGCGCAACCTATAGTACTAGCAACTACCTAGAAAGGGTACGTGGTTTGCGCATTCTAATTTTTTGTTGATTAGAGTAACAAGGGTTAAGTTTTAAGCACACTTTTAATAATGACTATAAATTTCTCTTGTTATCTAAAAAACAAAAATTCTTTTCCTTCGTGCGGTGTAGCATTTGGGAAAAAAATGACACCTTCATCATAAAAAATTATAAGGGTACTAGTTTTTACACGAGTATTGCGCAATTGATTTAATGCTTAATTTTTGTATTTAAATAAAAAATTCAAAGTATATCAATGTAAGATTATATAAGAGAAGTTTATTATAGTTGGATTAAAATTAATGTTTGTACTTTTATAAAAATAATTATCTAAATACTTATTGTAGTTGTTTGAAAATTACACTTTTGGTTCTATGACTATTGTGGTCTTGTTAATTGAGTAAATACTCAAAATGGTCCATCGACTATAGCTAAATTCACAAATTGGTTATCGACTTTCAATTTCAACTAATTAAGTCCTTAACTTTGTAATTTTAACACAATTTGGTCCTCTGTCTATTTGACCATTTGTTGACTGTGATTTTTGAGGATATATATGTAATTTCATGGTCCATCGTCGGTTTTTTAAGCTTCCGGTTGTATTTTCAGACCGCACTGTTACATTCGAATCCACTGCCGAAAGCAATCTACCAAATCCGGTCGCCTTTCTTCATCCTCCCTTTGGATTCAATGTAGTTGAGTTCGTACCAGAGCGAAGAAGACGGCGTGTTTCTGAACCGGTGCAACGTCATCCTGGAGGCCTCCACGTGCTCCGACGAGAGCTGAAGGTTCTTCTGGAGATCGTCGATCATGGTCAACAAACGGTCAAATAGATGGAGGACCAAATTGTGTCAAAATTGCAAAGTTAAGGACTTAATTGGTTGAAATTGAAAGTTGAGGACCAATTTGTGAATTTAGCTATAGTCGAGGGACCATTTTGGGTATTTACTCTTGTTAATTTGAGTATTTGATTTTAAAAACTATCAATTTAGTCTTGTAACTATGCAATTTTTAACACATTTGGTCCTTCTGGTCAAATCGTCGGCCAAATGTCACCGGAAAAACATATTTTCTTTAAAATTGTTTAATCATGGGGTTAAAATGGTCATTTTAAGGTAAATGTTCTTCTTCTTCCTTGATGCGCCTGCGGAAAAGCAAAATACACTGTTCAAAATACGCAGGTGGGTGATGCGCCTGCGGACAATGTTGTTTTTCTTCTTCATTACTCAACGCATTTTGGCCGGTGCACTCAGAGCAGCATGTGGGTGCTGGGCAAAACACGCTTTGCAAGAAAGAAGTAAAATATACAAAATGTACCCTCTGAATTCTGATCGAAAACCAGAGGCGGAGACGGAACCACGTGTGACATCCCGCAAATCTAAATTCTATTTAGGGATTAATTAAGTAATTAATCCTAATCTAATGGTAATTTATTCTTTAAATTCCTGAAAATTCAATAGTTGGGGACTAGTAATTGACTAGTCAACCCAAGTCAAGGTGTTGTACCTAAAGCTTTGAGAATAGTTCCCTTGTTCCCTTACACTTCTTCATCTTAGTAAGGGTAATGAAGACATTTCACCTCATATTTGTATTCCAAGCTAACCTAGAAGACACCTTTCATTCTTTCCCTTACACTTTCAAAACATAAGTTCTTCCTTCTCTCTAAAATTTAGCTAGCTTTTCTTCCAAGCTAAGTTGAGGCTTTCCAAGATCTTCAAGGTTTGTCTCCAAGATGCCACATTTCCTACTCTTGAGCATCTAGGAGGGTAAGATCTTTGTTCCTTTTGTGTTTTTAGTGCTTACTAAGGTATCTTTTTCTAAAGATGAGATCTTTATCGTCTTTTGGTGTGTTCTTGAAGTGGGTGTTGAAGGTGAACCTTGTTAGGAGCTTTGAGAGGTGTTATAAGTCAAGGTTTAGTCTTCAAGAGGTAACCCATGCTCTACAAAATCTATTTTCATTACCTATATGATGATTTATTGGATTCTACTTGTGATTTTGCTATGAAATGTGAGTGTTGATGCATTGTCTTGTGAAAATGCATATCTAGAGCTTGTTATTAGGGTTCATGTATGCAATTGCTTGGCTATTCCTTTGATTCAAGTCATTTTGTTGTATTTGGTGAGATTTTGGGTGTTTTGGACTTGAATTTGAGCTTGGTGTTGAAAATTCCCGAATGGATTATTTTGTTCAGGGTTGTGTACCCGCGGGCGGAACGGCGGGTAGGGGTCCACCCGCGGGTGGAACGGCGGGTAGGGGTCCACCCGCCGCCCCACCCGCGGGGTACGGGCGTGTGGAACATTGGTTCCCGCGGGTACAGTATGGTGGTTGTGTGGGGATTTGTTCCCCGTGATTCTTTTGACTAGGTAATTGATGTTTTGACTTCCCGATGTTCTTTTGTTGGGCTATTTGAGTGTCTTCTTGATGTTTCGTATGTCTAGAACTATATGGTAGGATTCCATGTAGGATTTGATGTCTTGAATCGTGCTAAGTGTTCAACATTGTGATTCGTTGAACCATGATGAGTCTTGTGTGTTCTTCGGAACTATGTTTTGTTTACCCGTTTGATAAGCATGCTAGTTTGATATTGAAATGCTAGCGTGTGTGGTTTGTTCTTCCTTATTGTGGATGATAACTTGTGTTGATCATCGTTGATGTCGGATTGTAGTCCTTCCTTGATTGAGTATGGTTTCATATCTTCGTTGTGATCCGTTGATTGATTTCTTTGATGAATGTGTGTGTTGGTTGTACCTGGATTGCACGATTAATGGTATGGGACATTAATCACCAAGGTACAGATGTGGTCTTTGTGGTGGCCATGCATGAGTTTGGTGGTTTGTTATCGTAAGTATAGCTCACACGGTTTGGCGGTTTTGTGATGTGACCTTGCAATGTACCCTCGTGTACTGTGCGTTCGGTGGTTTTGTTTGGCGGTTGTTGGAGGGGGAACGACGGTTCCCCGGAGGCAAAAGGTTGGACTTGGAAGTACAAGGTGGCACTCGGAGGTAAATGTTGGAACTGTAATAAGGCCGGGGGTAGGCATAAGGTTGGAACTTGGAACTTGTGACATGAAGTGTCATTGTGGCATGAAGTGCCAGTGTGTGGATATTTATCCTTATCTGTTGAGTTATTCTGTTGTTGCTCGTGTCTTGATGTGTTTTCGGGATGTGTTTCCCCTTGTCCTTGTTGTGAGTGATATAGAGTCTTGTGGTTGACTTCTATCTTTGGCTTTGAACCGATATATACAGTATTCTGTTTCAAAATGATTTTGTATATACTATCTATGTATTATACCTACCATGTATTGGTGGGTTACTAGCATCATTCGCTGACCAGGCGTCGTCCCATTTATTTGTGTGCTTTTCAGGTCCCAAGTAGTGGCGAGCGCGATCTAGTGATGGATAGAGTAGTTCCCTCAGACTTTGCTAGCTTGTTATGGGCCTGTGTGCCTTTTATGATGAACAGTAGATAGTTGTTGTTTTGACCTTGTTCCTCGTTTGACTGATGATGTTGATGTTGTTTTCGCCTGTGCGTTCACCTTAGTGTGGACGTGGCATAACACTCTTCGTTTTCCAATTTTTATATAGTTAGACTTCCGTTGTGTTTGCTTATATTATGGTTAGATTAAGTTTAAAATTGCCTGGAAATCGGGGGTGTTACACCACGGCGGTCCGGCGGAGTTGCTAGCTCGCTGCGGTTTCGGGAGTTCGAGTTGTGCTTGTCTCATCGTCGTCTGCTATGCTCACTGGAGAGGAATTACCCTGCAACACCGCCGACAAAAATGGACTGGGTGAAGCCCGAATAAAGTCCATCGCCAACTTCACGTACCAGAAGGAGATGGAGCAGTGGACGGCTCAATTGCCCACTTTGCCTCGGCGAATTTCAGGAAGACGATTGCCTCCGGAAAGCTTTTCGAAGTTGCAGAACCTCAGGTTTCTTTGAATCAGCCGGAATTTTCTCTTCGGCGGGATTCCAATGGGGCTTGGTAGGCTCCGGAGCCTGCAGACGCTCGATCTTAGTTACAATCAATTCTCCGAGAGCATTCCTCTGGCCATCGGAGCGTTGCCGGCATTTTCCAACGTTATTCCGGCCACTCGTTGTCCACAAAATTCAATGAAATGCTTGCAATTTACGCCTAAACCCATCCCCAACACTTCCATGTCGCACTCCTGCTTCCCCAACACTTCCATGTCGCACTCCTGCTTCCTTCTTCACGTACAAGATGAATAACTTTTTCCTATTTTTTTAAAGCTTAAAATGACCATTTTAGCCCCATGATTAAACAATTTTAAAGAAAATACGTTTTTCCGGCGACATTTGGCCGGGAGGACCAAATGTGTTAAAATTTGCATAGTTACATGACTAAATTGATAGTTTTTAAAGTCAAATACTCAAATTAACAAGACCACGATAGTCACAGGACCAAAAGTGTAATTTTCTCTTGTTTTCGTTAAAATACTTAGTTTTTAAATTTTGTTAATTCGTTTTTGGATAGGTTTGTCATTGCTTTCGTGTTCATTGTTTGTCCGTTTCTTTTTGTTACTAGTGTCTTATGTGCAATTGAATTATTTGTGCTAATTTGCAAAAAGAATTGATTTGAATTTAAAATAGGTCAACGATATTATTGTTATTTTTGGGTGATTGTTGTTTCAATTTCATAATTATATTAGATTTAAAGGTGTTGGCTTTGTTGTATGAGTTCCAAACATGGACAGCCTTAGAAGAATAAGTATTCATTACTTGCACAAAATGAATTAGAGCATCCATAATAGTTTTACTCCGGTGCAGTTTTGGAGGGGTTTTTGTAAGAGTGATTAGAAATGAGAAGATGAAAGGGGAGAGAAAAAAAGGGAAAAAAAACTGAATTTTAAAAAAAAATAGTGCATTAGGCGCGTGCACGCCATTGGCTGTGCGTGAACGCCCACAACATTTGTTGCTTCTCTGTTTTTTTTTTTTTTTTTTTTT